TCATCCACAATGATAGATCGTGTGCCATTTTGGGCTTTTCTCATAAAATTTTATATTGATCAGGTTCTTTAATAGATTCAATATACAATTTGGTTCTCCTAGTGCTGCACCTATTCAAAAGGGTGACAAGTTTTTAATCTCATTATCCTCATAAGGATTCTTTTATTATCTTCTATTTGGTAGGTTAACGTATGCTCAAGTGTGCACTCGTTTTAATAAATAATTGTGTCATTAGCACACTTGGTGGATACTTGAGCAATCTTGGTTCAGGTCATTGAAAACATTGACCACTTTGATTCTAATTATACAAGTTACTCAGATGCCATTGAGTTCACATGTGATAACATTTTTATAATGCTTGGAAGAGTTGTTTCATAGAATAGTGTTGAAAAACATGTACATTTGCCTTAACTATGCATTATATATTGTTTGGCCTCTTGTTAGGATATATGGTAAAGGAATTTGATTATTAACTTATAGATCCCTAACCATTTATTGGACAATATGACTGCCATTTTTCTCTCAATACATCAAAAGTTCTAAATGAACGAAGAAATTTTGATATTAAATTTCATTTGTGAGGGAGAACATTCTTGAGTTTTAGACTCTTATTAAGCATGTGACTACTAATCGCATATTAACAAATCCTTTGACTAAGGGCTTAGACATTAAAACTTTACAGACTCATAAATGAGTCTAGTTAAAATTGATGCCCTAGTTTAGTATAAGTCTATTTTGGGATTTTACTTGCATTTGTATTACATTGGATATATATTTGTAATGAACAATGTATTTTGGATATGTATGATAGCATAATATGTGTTATGTTTCATTTGAATTTAGTTATAAGATACTAAACATGTATGATATATGATCTCTATAGAATTTATATCTGCATTGTCTTTAGATTTGGTCTTATTACTGGATTTTATGTCTAATGATTGTTCAATTGATGTTTGGCTTTCCTTGTTTTATATATATACATGTACATATATATATATAACACAACCAAGTGGGAGAACGTTGATTTTTTTCCTGATAAAATTGTGTGTGTGGTTTGCATCAACCTTGTGAGCTTGGTGGTGGTATAAACCATCAATGACTTGATCTATATTCAGCACCATTATGATCAAGAAGCCTCTATGTTCTCCCTTGTTTATGTTTGGCAACTCCCATTCATATGATGATGTGAGTGATGTGTTAGCTAGGAATATAGAATGGATAAACATCACCTTTGTCTCCATCTATTGTATGGCATTGAAGACCTACCATTACCTTTGTGTGTGTGTGTGTGTGTAGAGAGAGAGGGGGGAGAGAGAGAGAGATGTGTGGTTCCATCCGTGTATCTATTATTTTTTCCGCTCGTTTGCTTCTTACTTCACATCTATAACAAGCATTATCGAGCCTCAAGAGAAGAGTTAGAAGCTCTATGTGTTGTCTTTTTTTCATCACCTTCAATCAGCTATGTATTTCATCAGACAACAAGGTATGCATCTTTCTCTGTGTTTAAGCTTTGATTCATGTTATACAATGCAATCAAAATTGTTCTTCCAACATGGGGTGAGCCAAATTGATTAGATAATAAGTGTCGAGGTTATATTTGTTATTGTAAGTTGAGGAGTGAACAAAGCAGAGTACATAGTGGCCTAAAGCGAAATTAGGTTAGCGGCCATCACTTAGGTTGGTAAGAGTTGATAGCTGACGTCGCCGAATAAGATCGATGGAAACTTCTCAGTTTTTGAACAATAATTGTTGTCGAGTTGTGAAGTAGGTAGTGGCTGTGGGTTTTGGCGTAAAAATAAAGAGGCAATAGACCATTTCCAAAGCTCTATTGTTGCTGCTGTTGGAAGAAACTATTGCTACTATTGCTGCTATTATTGGAAAATACTATAGACGAAATTGAGAGTAGAGACTAGGGGTGTTCATAGTTTTTAAAAACCGTACTGAACTGAACCGAACCATATTGAAAGTTAGGTTTTTTAAAAAAATTATAAGTTTTGATATTAAGTAATACTGTACCGAATATTTTGATACGGTTTTGGTTTTATAAATTCAAAACCAATAAAAAACCATACCGAACCGATGTTATATATAATAATTTATTAAAATATTTATATCATAAATAAATGATTAATTTTCAAAGTATTAATTATAATTCAATAGTAATTAAAGAAATTAAAAGGTTAAGGACTTCTACGAAAAAGAAGTATAAATATTATGAATTAAAGTGTAAAAATAATTCTAATATATATCTTATATTCTTACAACTAATTTATTAACTTATACATTTATTATAAAATGAGATCATTCTTTTTTTATTTTTTGTTTAATTATGAAATTTATGTTATAATATAATGAATTACTTACCAATTTATCACCTCATTTAAATTTCATAAATTACTTAACACATGATAAGCCCTAACTTAAAAAAAAAAATTTCTTAAATATACTTTTTCATTGTAAATAAATAAAAAGTTTCACTTAACAGATCTAAAAAGTAGTTTTAGAAAAAAAATTAAATAAAAAAAATTATATGTAGAGAAATTTGAACTAAATATTGGACATTTTTTTCATCAAAAACCATAAATTAAAAAAAATTACCATTGCCAAATAAATACAAATAATTGAGAATTAAATTTCAATTTTTAAAATAGAAATTGTTGAATTTTATATTTTAACTACCAATAAAAATTAAGTGTAAAATAATGAATACATATTTAAAGAAATAAAATAAAAGTTTAAACTATACCATACTAATATATTTTACATAATAATTTATTAAATTATTTATTATATTATAAAATTATTAAATTTCTAAATAATTAGATTATAAGTTATTAATTAAAGCATTTATATTATATGTAAGTTAATTATATCATCTAATAATGATAGATTTTTAATTAAATTGATTAAAAGCTTCGTATTAAATTAGGTTAAACAAAATTATTTTTTCATTATTTTTATATGATTTTTAATTTGTTTCTAATATATTGTGAGATCAAGAATATAAAGTTATAAATGATTATTAATGAAAGTTTTGAAATTAAATCCTTAAATGTAGAAAATTATTAACATTATATAATCTTTAAAATAATTTGATTTTTTTATATTAGTTATATACTAAAAGAATCTTTTTGTGTGATTCTGTGAAATTTTTATTGGTTTACTTAAATATTTTAATATAATTAAAAAAATTGTAAAAACCGTACTAAACCAAATAAAGCTGAAGTAACAGTATCGGTAATCAAAAGTATAATTTTGATTTTAATACTCAAAAAATTAAAATAATTAGTATAATATAATTTTACTAAAAAATCAAAAAAGCTAAACCGTGAACACCTCTGGTAGAGACAAAGGAAGAACACATCAATGTTTACAAATGTAAAAGAGGATTTTGTGATTGGCATGATGTAGTTGATAATAACTATCTGAAGGCCATAAGGGCTAGTCAATGTCGTTGGTCAGTCGCTAATAAGGTCGGTGATGCTTCTATTTTTGCATATGCATTTGCCTCTCCTCGGTTGCTCCTTCTTTCCTTCTTAACAAAATAATATTTTACTTTTTAAATATAATTTGACATTTGATATTAATTATACACCTTTTTTATAGACTAATTGGCTCATCATTTTTTGTGTTATTATTATAATCACTCAATCTTCTCTTAGCTCAACAAATTCACATATAAAATCTAAACCAGACTTCTTCTTTTTAAGAAAGTTGATTAAGGTTGACTATCATTTCTTTAAAAAAAATCAAAACCAAACTTCATCATTTTTTATTGCATCTATTTCTAGAGATGGAAACGGGTGGATTATGACAGGTTATTTAATTAACTTGTACAAATAATTTAAATTAATTTTATAAAATTTATATTTTTTAATCTAGTATCTAAAATTAAATTCATGTAGTAATATTTATTATCAGTTATAATATATTAATTTAAAATTTAAAATATTATTAATTAATTATTTTAATAATAATATTTAAAATTTTCAATATATTAGATTGAAGTGTTTAAAATTTAAATATAATGATAAATTAATGAGATTTATATTAAAAAAACTAATAATATATTATAAAATTTAAAAAAAAAAGGATAAGAGGTAGAAAAAATTTGTGGAGGTAAAATAACTTTTATCTTGTGGAAGAAGTGCGGTTCGGCAAAGCGTGACATATCATGTATGTTCCGGTTCGAAGATGTACCCGACAAGTTTGGACTGGACCTTTCGGGTTGGCGTTGGGGACGGGTCTGCCTGTCTTGCCCCTGTTCCACCGATACCTAAAGCTTAATGATAAGACTATGTTTTCGGGTATCGTCCTTCGAATCCAAAAACTTCTGGCTTTTGTTTTTGCTCTCCTTCCCTGCTGAAACTGCCGTCGCGGGCTTTCCGTAGTCTCCTCTGACTTCCTCCGACGATCGTCCATCAAGTTGCTTGCCGGAAATTCTGCCATTCTGGTTAGCTCTCGTCTCCTCTCTTTGCACTTCTTGCTTCTGGATCATCGGAAATTGTGTTTTTGCTTAGGATCTCGAGAATCGTGTCATTGAAACCCTAGCCGAGCTGTTCTTTGCTTCCTTTCTGCTTTCTCATTCCTTGAGATCGCGTATTTCATCGTTTTTCGGATCTCAAGCGATCCGCGATTGGGGTCTTGCGATCCAATTCGAGAATCATCTGCTTTTGAGTGATTTTGGATAAACTTGTTCAGAATAGTTATCACATGATAACGAGTTCCCATGTCGTGGATAGGTTTTCTAATTTGGGTAGTTGGGTTAAAGTTACTATTGCATCTTCGATTTTATGGTTTTGACTTGGTTCATTTTTGATGAATGAGTTATGAGTTAACGGGGTTTTGGTAGCTGGGCTCGTATTATCAGTTTGTTTATCCAAAAATTTGAAAAACCCAAATTTAGGTCACAAGCCAGGTGACTTCTAGATTTTTCAAGTTTTTGGCTTCGAAAAGAGAACATAAAGCTGGAAAGTCGGCTACCAAGCACACGCTTAATGTGGGTGAAGCTTTTTTCCCCTTACAGTTAGATTTTCAAGGAATCCATGTTATTTAGTGATTTTGGTTCCTTAGAAAGCGAGAAATTCCATTCAGCCAAGTCTATCGGTAATTCCTGTCAACTGGAAGCTGAATCCTTCACTCTCAGAGCAACTATAAAGCAGGGAATTTTTTGCTGAAATTATCATACTTAGTATAATCTTACTTGTATTATTAGAATATCCCACCTCATTGTTTGGGGTTCTTCTGCTTTCTATTTGAATTTTGCTAATGAGTTTTATTTGCAATTTGATAGCTAGATTTTGTTATCAGATTTTCATCCTATGTGAAAATGTATTAGGATGCTGCGCATTCACAATTAATAGAATCATCTGTGTTCCATTTCATTGTCTAAATATTTTCGTAAGCTTGCTTGCCAAGCAGAGGATTCTTGTACAGCTAAAAAACAATTGGCTGTTTTGCCAATGGAGAAAGGAAAGCTTCTAGCCTATTTGTTAACGATGGTTCATTCATGGAGAGGTTCAAACAGCTACAACAAGAGAAGGACTCTGTGTCAGAACAATCTAAACCAGGCCCAACTGTATCACAGACTTCAACTCTAAGCCTATCATTACTAGAACCAGCTTTGAACCCAAGGTTAACAGTTCTCGGAAAACTACACCAGTTGCATCGGGTGGCAAACTAGCCTTCAGCTTGAAACAGAAATCAAAGCTTGTAGCACCCTCTATTAAGTTAAGTGAAGATGAGGAAGAAGAAGAGAAGGATGCTGGAAATGCATTGGGTAACGGGCTGGCAAAACGACAGAAGGTGGGTGAGCCCGTTGCCTCTGAGCAGTCATCAAAACAAGCTGATGTTGGTAATTACCTTTTATACAAGTATCAATTCATATTCTGAACTGAACTGATGTTTAGGCTGAATCTTGTTTTTCTGTGTTTCTGTTGGTCAAGCAAAGGAGTGATTGGCCCTGACTATGCATTTTTCTAGCCTGCTGGATAGTAAAGCATGCCCCATCCGTGCTTCCCATTTCTTATTAAAACATATGCTTTATAGTTTACTTATTACCTTATGCACATACTAGTGAAAGCAATTTCTATTGTAGCTATAAGTTAATCAGAAGATTACCCTTGCTGGGCACTAGCTGTTCCCCTTTCTGACAATTTTGCTACTATGATGCATATTTATTATGTGAAAGATGTTAGCTGGCATTATTCATTCTGGTTCCATGCTTCATGAACCCATTATTGGATTACCAAGGTATTTATGTGATATTATTTGACAGTTTAATTTAAAAGAATGTCCAAAGACTTTTTGTTGCTCTTTTCTGTAAAATCAACAGTTCTGCCCTTCCATTAAATTCATTGATTTTGAAGAAATCATCTCGGGTTGCTGCTTCTACTCTTCAAATGGTGGTTGAAAGGACAAAACATTCTTGAATTGTTCTTATCTTGTGAATGCAGCCTATTACTTATGTTCCTATCAACAGTGGTGGAAAGAGATGTTCAATGAAAGATTTGGAAAATGTGGAACGCCTGATACAAGAGTAATTTGCATTCCATTGTTCATGCTCTTGGTATTAATAAGTTCTTTAAGTGACATGCAGCACCACCTCCCCAAGTGATGACACAGTGAAGAAAGTTGCAGACAAGTTGGCAAGTTTTGTGGCCAAACATGAAGGCAATTTGAGCATATTACAAGGCAGAAGAATCCTGGAGACACTCCTTTCAAGTATTTTATTTTTTAAAATTATCAATCTTTTGCATGTCTTCTTAGAAGGTGAATCACATATAGAATGGACAGTTTTGTTTTATGCTTTTAGCATGCAGTTGCTTCTAGTTGTACAATGTTGTGGGAAATTCTTATTATTTGAACTTTTTAAATCAGGCTAGCTCTTTTAGTAGCTATCAAACATAAGATCTTTTGTTGTGGGTTTTCATAAATGTACTTTTTTCTGTTACTTGCCTTGTTATAAATACTCTGTTGCCCTTTTGATGTCCATAGCTTTCTAATTTGTATAATTCCTCCCAGTTCACATGTCTTGAAAGTTGCCTTTATTGTTTAGTTTGTGAATCTTAATTTGATGTTTATGAAAAATGAAATGATAGCTTGAGGCTGATCATCTGGTCATTTTTTATCACTGTTTGTGGGGGTGTTTCAGAATGCAATTATATTCTGCTAGTTACCTACTTACCTTGCCATTGAGTGGGGCCCTGTGAGATCATGTTGCTCCCTTCTAGGAATTATGAATGATAGTGTTGGTTTGGATTTTTTAAAACTTTTTTAATTAATTTTTTAATGTTGCACACAGCTATACCTCCAAATGACAAATTGTGCCTTTTAACTTTGCCTTGCATTGCTTCATGTATTGTATGTAAATAAAAACTGGATATGATTGTTCGTGTGTTTGCTATATTTAATGTGATCAGATGTTGTTATGGATGTTTTTGTGCTTTTATGCTTTGCTTCCAGATTCTAATGAAGTTGCTATTGTTAGGTTTCTATTTGATGAAAGCTGTGCTGATTATAAATATTATGAATATCGGCTAGCTGAAGAGGAAAGGGCTTTGTCACAGACCAAGGATTTGCAACCATCACAAAGTGGTTGGTATGCTAAACTGAATATTATTCACTTGATAGAAGGTTCTGGGCAGTGTTGTAAGGAACTTGAGGATATTGATTTGTTTAAATTGGTTGCAAATGTTTACAATTTACAGTAGACCAGAAAGTTTAGCTGTTAGTTTCTTTAGGTGCGTATTTCTTCTTCTTCTGATCTAAAAGGGTCAGTATATTTTCTGTTATTGTTATCAAAAAAGTCCCATAATCCAATTTTTTTTTTTTTTACTTTGTTAAGTTCATGTCTGTTTCTGAAAAGATGGTTTCTCAGTCTGTTTCATATCTGTTTCCCAGAAATTTTATTGTCATCCAGTTAAATATTTGAAATTGTCTTCAGCTTCCGATCTTATGAATATTAATGGTCATGGTATTTTTTTGTTTCTTGGCATTACAGGTAATGTGCCTCCAACTACTGCAACTACTGCAAGCGGGTCTCAGAGGTCCTTTCAGCATCATTCTAGCTATCAGACTCCTGCTTCAGCTTTATATGAATCTAGCGAGGACTCCAAAGATTTCATGACAGCTCAACATTCATCAGCGGGGAGATCTGGTTAGTACATGTTTCCCCTTGCTTTTCCTCCCTTTTAATATTCATCTTTAATTTTCTTCTGAAACTTTGAGTTTTATGGAACTATTATTGTTCACTTGCAACAAATACTAATGAGCTCAACCTGAATCATCTTGTAGTCAAAGATGTGATGACATTTATAGCCGATGCTTGTTTGCGTGCAGCTATGCATTATGTCTCACTCTATATTAATGTAATTTATGTGACCTGCAATTCTGTTTCACCATTCCACTCTATTAGGTCATAAATGTAGTTAAGTACTTAACATGTCTTATATGAAGTCATGGTACTTAGACCCTGTTTGGTCCTGTACATATTTCTCTCTGTGGAATGTCACCCTTTCTAAGGGGCAGTTCCTGAGTTGTCTGATTGTTTTTTCCTGGTGCCTAATGCCAAAAATAAAAAATTACTTATGGCAAGGATACCATTACCTGAAATTCCTAGAAAGAAAAAGAATGTTACCCTACTAAGCTAGAAACAGTGGATTGAAAATTAGTTTCCTTCGAATTCTTTTGTCCTATCTTGGATATTATCGGCTTGCTTGCTGGATATTGACACCCACTTCAGGATGCTAGCATGCATGAAAGAAATGATTGAAATGTTATCAACCAGAAACCAAGGCAATTTTGAAATGAATTTACTGCATTAATTGAACCTCTGCTGTGTAACTTTGGAGTGTCAAGGTCTTATTACTATATTTTCACAATTCAACAGAGAATGGAAATGCTTGGTATGGGAATTTTCTTTTTCATGCTTTATGATCACGCCGGATAGTCCACTTTGTTTTAATCTCATCCCCCAATACCATGAATATAATTTTATCACATTCAACAGCTGACACCTAAATTCAAGAATAGAATGCTATATCCTAGCCTTCAAAAATCTGTCAAATGCAACTCATAATCTAAATTCTCTCATTAGTGCTAAATAATAAGAGAGTACTATTAAAAAAAAAAGGAAAATGTCGTGAAATTGTGTCAAGCCCGTCTGTATAGATTATAATCCTCTCACTGTTGCCCTTTTTTCTAACTTTGCCTATAGCACTGATTTTTATACATTTCTCATTATTAGAAATTTTAAAATCAGAACAAGGAATTGTATGTATATTCACATACATATACATGTATATACATGCCTTGTGTCTGCTTTTCAGAGTTCCTGTTGAAGATTGATCATTCTTACTTGTAAACTAGCATTGGATGCATAAATACATATATATTTATATTAAATGTCTCATGTCTGCTTTCCATAGTTCATTGGAGATTGGTTGTTCAGATTTAGAACAAGAAATTGGTGTTGCTTCTAAGCAAGCAATGATAGGTGGGATTATTAAGTTATATCATATGCAGCATATGTTATGGTTGTGGAAAAAAGATATGTTTTTGTGGTCATTGCCTACCAATGTTATTGTCCAGGAGTTTCACTTTTGGGAAATATATGCACTTTCTGATGATCTTGTGATGGTCCCATTAAAGGCATAAGCAGTCCATGACATATTTCTATAGATATTTAAATGTTGTGATATGAGTCCTGTTGTCTTTAGATGCCATTTAACTCAAATGGCTGTCTTTTGTAATATCACCCATTGGGATTTTCATTATATATTCTCTATATGCAGGTGAATCCAGTGGCCCATCTGGTGGAGATCCTATTGCAATGATGGAATTCTACATGAAGAAGGCTGCACAGGAAGAGAGGCGGAGACAACCTAAACACTCCAAAGATGAAATGCCACCACCTGCATCCCTTCAGGGTCCGTATAGCTGTTCAGATTAGAATGAGATCCATTCTTGCATTTCTACCTAGCATTATTATTTTTCTGCCTTGCTTTGCACCTCATTTACCACCTGGAGTTATCCTCTTTTGTTTAATTTTTAATATATGATGGCAGGCCCTATGAAAAAAGGTCACCATATGGGTGACTTTATCCCACCAGAAGAGCTTGAGAAATTCATGGCTAGCTGTAATGATGCAGCTGCTCAGAAAGCTGCCAAAGACGCTGCTGACAGGGCAAAAATCCAGTCTGATAATGTTGGGCACAGACTTCTCTCTAAAATGGGCTGGAGGGAAGGTGATTTCTTTGTTATATTTCAGCATATCTGAATAACATGATTTGTTTTCAGCTTCCTTGCCAACAATTTAAATATCATTTAATGAATTGATAATCAAGCTACGGTTCTTGGAATAACAATCCATAGGTTTTCAACCCACCGTATCTGCGTGGCACTAAGTTTTGTAGAGCTTGTGCAGAAGGAATCGCATATATTTTGAATATTAATAACACTTCATATTGGTAGCTCATTTAAGTATTAAATAGAGGCAAGTATTGGATCAACGGAAAGGTTGCTCCTTTTTGACTAGAAGGTCAAGGTAAGCTGCATTCCTTCAATGACCCTTCTTAACTCTTGTAAAGTGAGGAGGCCCTCTGACTGGGCATGCCCTTTTTTATTTTAAATATTAAATAGGTAAAAGCTGAGTGCCAAGATGACAGTTTTGCGGACTTCAAGTTTATTTCTTCATTTCATATCTATCTGGTTTAGGAATTGTTCAATCAGCAAGCTACCCTTGGCTGCAGTTTCAGACTCTTGTCCTGCCTGCATGTGAAAGATATTTGTGGGCCGGATCTATACTTCAATTATTCTTCTGTTAACTATTTTCTTGAATTTTAATAATCAAGTGTCAAGCTTGAAATTTTAATATATCAAAACCCTATATAGAATACTAAGAAATCAAATCGTAAACTTAATTCTGCTTCCTAAATGCTATTTTTTCTGAATAATTAAATTTCCTAAACTTACAAATCTTTATCCTTAATCATTTCAAACTCCTAAATAAATTGATTTTCAAAAAATAGTTCAATAAACTCAAACCCTTGAAAATAGATAAACGAATATAAGTCTAAATAAAAAAGAAAAAGCCAAATTAGTTCATGATTTAGGAAGAAGAATGATTTGTTCAATAGGAATTGTAGACTATCCTAGTGACCTTAGCAACTCAGTGTATATTAAGTTTGTACTTGAAAATATGTAGTTATGTAGCTGGTGTCTGCCCTAGGAAACTTCTCCATGAGAATTGTGTATAAGATTTTGCTTTTTGTCTGGAATGCAGGTGAAGGTTTGGGAGCTCCAAAAGTGGTATTTCGGATCCAATTGCAGCAGGCAATGTGAAAATGAACAACTTGGGGGTTGGTGCTCAGCAGCCCGGAGAGGTGAATTCTGATGACGACATATATGAGCAGTATAAAAAGCGAATGATGCTTGGTTATAGATATAGACCAAACCTCTGGTAAGATCTTTATCCTTTTCTCATGTGTCTTTGTAATGGTTTGTTCAGAATAAAAATGTAATTATAAATTCATTGAACCAACTTTTGAATGGATATCATTTTTACTCTTCTCTGACAGAACAATCCTCGCAAAGCGTACTACTGAGGAACCCTCTAATGCAAATGCAGCTTTCTGCTGGTTAGGGATGCCATGATTTCTTCTTCTTTCCTTTTCATGACAACTTTATTGGGGAATGTTCAAAATTTGACGATTGTGGCAAGTTTAATATCATTTTATTGGAGCAAATGGAAAACTGATATTGTCTTGAGTCCTGAATGTGATGTGCTTGAATGGCTGTTTTTAGCATATATATGATTGCCACATCTGTTCTGTTCTGTAATTTTGTGGTTGGTTGTTTGACATGTTTTAAGATGGTTCCCTTCCCCTTGCCATGCCATCAGTTTAGTCATGCAAAACAAGAGTAGAGGTTATGCCAGAGAAAATAAAGATAATCCTGGGCATGTCAAATGTAATAGCTTCTGGAGGTAAAAATATGTTTGGAATTAAATGTACCATAAGACTCCTACCTAAAAATAGAGACCGCGGCTTGGTGCATCAAACATTTAATTTCATAGGGGCGCCAATGTTTTAACAGTTAAGATGATAATGGGTGATTTGGGGAAAGAAAGTGTTGTTTATATATTGTAGTGGCAGTTTGACTTGTTATGTGTTGACATTTGTGTTCATATTAAAATATCTATCAGAACTATGAGAAATTCCTTTATATTGGAAATGGCTGCCGTAGTATATGCGTGTTCTTCTGTAAATTTGAGGTCAAGTTGTATTTATATCATGTGAACATATGCAGGAACTTTAATTAATACTATCACTTGAGAGATTGGTATGTTGAGATCATTTCTGGGGACGTTGTTACTTGAATTTCCTATGGAATTTTTAAGAGATTCAATGTGGTGCAATGATTTCTGTGGATGATGTTCAACTTGGTCTGGAGCTTTGTAATTGAGGAGTATATTTCACATAATGCATCTTAAACAATGCTGACCTTATGTTTTCATTTGAAAGTGAAATAATCGACGACTTGGAGTCATCTGTCATATTTTATTTTAACATAATTTGGATATCTTGTGCGTCATATCTGAAATGCGCAACTCTAAAACAGCAAAAAGGGATGTAATACAGTTGCCAAGAGCACGACACTAATCTCTAGGGGTGTGTAAAGACCTACCCAGGTGAAAAACTGAATACATAGAGTTTGGCTTGAATCTGGTAGTTTTAGGACTGGTTTGGTGTCCATGTGAGAACTTCTTCGAACCAAAATTTTTGATTTAGTGTTTATTGAAAATTTTATCAAAATAAATTTAACCAACCGGAACCAATGATCAAATGCATAATTACATCGTAATTTTTTGTTGTTATGTATCTGATTTATGGTTTATTTTATTTCATGTTGATTTCTTCCTTTATTGAATAGATTAGATTTAGTCGCGGTCTTTCACAAATCCAACCCAATTAAATCAAACAGAAAAAGTTGATTTGGTTTGATTTTGATTCCAGATGATCTAACCTGACTCTGTTTGAGCATACCCTTGCTAATCTCATTCCCCTGGGACATGAGTTGTTTGACTTTCCTAACCTCGAGGACCTAAAAGGGGCAAAAAAAAAACTAATACAAGCTTTTACCAATTTAAAATTGAAAGAGCTTCTTAAGTTGGTATATATAGAGAACATAAGTTTATTTTAGTGCTGATATGTAATTTGGCAAGCGAAAAGGACTACTAAATTGCATACTTTGGTAATGGAAGTCACCAAATGATTGTATTCTGAGATTTAACAAGTGAGGGGATTTCCCTCCATGCCGAAGTTCGTGCATTCTACAAATATCATTAGGTTTTGAGTGTAGGACCATTTTCACGCTGCCCTCGTTTGTGATTAATTCGTCTTGTTTTATAATAAATTCTTATATTAACTAGAAAAAGGTAAATTCTTTTATGTTATTAAAAAAATCAAAATTCCAAAAACCCTCCAAAGCAAACATGTCCTTATCAAAACATTTCACTACCCTTAATGTTATCTGAGTAAAGACAATATGTTCTACAATGTTTGAATGAAATTAGAGTTGTTAATATATTAAATTTTAATTTGAATTTGATTAAAATATTCAAAATATTAGATTCATTTATAACTTTTTATAACTTGTAATAAATAGATCATACATTTAATTAAACAATCCGGTCTATTAAGGATTTGAATCTGAATTTTAATTAAATTAACAATTATATATAATATTAATAAATTTAAAATTATATGAAATTAAATTAAAAATTTTTAGAAAATTTAAAAATTAATATGATTAAATAAAATAGAGTTAAGTGATTAAATACAAAATAGATTAATTTTTTTGTGAATCAATTTCTTTATCAAATTTCAGATTATACATCAAATTTAAATATAGTAATAATTAATTAGATTTGAATTTGAATTTGAATATATCTAAATTAACTCAAACCCAATCAAATTTAAATATAATAATAATTAATTAGATTTAAATTTAATTTGAATATATCTAATTTAACCCAAACTCAAATCGGTTAATAACCCTAAATGAAACTATCAGCAGCACATACATCCAGAACATTGCTTTCTCCAGAAAACTTTGTGGGTGGCCGCCGATTGGGAAGGCTTAAATGGAATTAGTGTGGTTAGATAAATTTGACTTTGAATTTTTTTGGGGGGTTGACTTTTGGCCAGAAGTCAGACAGGATTGATTAGTTGATGATGGAACCGTTGAAATTAATTAGCTAAGGATGAGCATCCCAGCTGTATTTGTATTCACATTTAGTTCAATAGCTTTTTATCTACTCCTAAGTGCTATTTACAGATAATTTCACTTTCAAAAGCAGGCAAGTGGCAAACAAGACCTAATCATTCTTATCATACTGCATTGTTGATTCCCAACACCCAAATAATTAGATATTCTCCTTTAAAAAATTTGCTTTAACATCAATTTCTCTATAAATGTATTTTTTTGAATTATTATTTCAGATTTTTATATTTATAATGTTTTCAAAAATATCTGGGAGGTATTTGATATTTTATAAATTTTTAAATTTTCAATTTTTTATAATAACGTGCAAAAATTGAGCTATTATCAAATTTAATTTGTATTTAGAAAAAGGGAGAGTCAGCTTCTTTTATAAAGTCTTAAAGAAGCCTCACAAGGAAGCCGGCTTTTCTGAAATTCTCGGCTAAAAAATCAATTCTCAACTGTACACACTAAATGTCAAATACGTAAAAGTGAAATTCAAACTATATTTTATCAGAATTTAAAGGAGACTTTATATATATATATATATATATATTATTTTTATATATTAAAATATATACTTTTTAATTTATTTATCAAAATAAGTAAAATGAACCGAGTCTCCAAGAAAAATCAATTCACGCGGAATTGACTTCTTTTGAATAGAAGTTACTTATATATATTTTGATAAATAAATTTAAATATATAATTCTAAATAAATAAAAAAAGATGTAATACATATATATAAAAAGACTGCAGACACACATTAAATCCCACAACACCCACGAAATTCCGTTTAAATAGAACTGTTAAGTTCAGAACAAAATTAAAATTTTATGTTGTATTTTTGTAAACATTATTATTTTACATTTATTTTAAATTCTGTATGTACGTATATTGTACAAGTTCAACACTAGTGCATGTGTAGAGAGAGAGAGAGAGAGAGAGAGAGGTTAGACCGGATCCTGAGGGCACTTTCAAGGTTGACAAAAAGGGTCTCCAACGGACCGCATTCACATTTTGCCACTTCTCGCGTAGAACAAAATGGCTCTCTCTTTTGAGGCATTATAGATGTGTTGTTCCTTTTGTGTAAATACCCAAAAACTTATGAAGGGGTCATGGGACGTAAGTTTCCTTTATTATATTTAGTTCCATTTATATACATAAAAATATATTATAGACAGAAAGATATCACATATATATATATATATAGAGAGAGAGAGAGAGAGAGGGAGGGAGGGAGAGTACAATGTACGAGGGAAACGTGGACGATGACCAAGGAGCAACATTGTTTCTGTCACATAAGTCCGGGCAGTATGGTCGCTTTCTTAATAAATATTGCTAAATGTAGGTAGATCGAGGTGTCAATTGTCGACAAACTTATCTTGTCATGGAAAATAGATAATAAAGAAAGTGGGGGCCAGATAAGTGAAATATTTTACAAAAGGAGTTGTTTGATAATATACAGATAAAATACAAAATACGAGCGGACAGCCAGCGCCAGATGAGGACGTGCGAACACGAGAGAAGAGATTGACGGTGGGAAATACGCATAATTTATGATGGACAATTTTATATTAGAAAAAAATCCAAATTATTTATTTCAAAATCAATTATTTAAATCGAATTAAATAGAAATATAGAAGAATTTCTAAAACGGGTAAACCTCAAATTTCAGAAAGGGAGTGAGAAAAAATATAATTAATAAATTTAATTAGATTTTAAATTAGACATTGATAAATGTACATCTAACAAAAAAATTTATTGGGTTTGATCTTATCTTTTTGCTAAAATATTTAATTAAAAAATTTTAATTCAGCTCGACTTGGTTATTTTGGTTAAACCAATTCAATCACGGCCTTAATTTTCTAAAAAATTTAGGCTAGAAATCAAAATTCTTTACTTAAAAATCAAATTCTATTCAAAAATTTCCATCCATGTCTCGAAACCTCCATCCAAACAAACAAAGCATTGATAAAGACAATTAAAAAGAGTCCCACCCTTGATGCAAAGAGGCACCACTCGTGGCTCAAACCCGGACTCTTTATTTCTTAATTAAAGGGATTTTGTCCCCCACCAAATTAACCTTTACTTTACTTAAATTAAACGCATTAGTTAATTAATTAAAAAAAATTAAGAGCCAACACTTTGAGGGCAAACAATCTTATCGGATAAGAAGAATACTCTTCTAGTTTTGCTTTTTCTCTGTTGATATACAAATTCCCTTCTTCCCTTCAACCAAGAGTGCGGATTCACTTAATTATTTAATGCATTTTTTAAAAATAAAATAAATCTAAAATTCCTTGGCATTATCCATTTATCAGAATATGTTAATGAAACGGTGTGCGCATGTGCATGCACATGCTACAGAGAGGGAGAGAGGATTCTAATGAGGAGAATTCTACGGTGCCCTTGGAGGGCACCGGTGCCCACCCCTCTCACAAGGGGTGGACTCCACTGCGGGTCCTCTGCATTGTGAGGGGACCCCACTGCCACCCCCCCTCACAGAAGAGGGGAGGGTACCAGTGCCCTTTGGGCCATACAATCAAATCGATGATGTCATCACCGACCTTGTTAATTTAGTAGGAATTTTAATGTTGTTTTGGTGACTTGCTAGTATATTTTAACAAGTAAACAGTTAT